TTCTTCTGGCACCCCTATAATTCGGATGTTGGTACGCTTGAAGCTGTCCCAGAGGCTCCTTACACTATCTTCGTATTTTTGGATTCTTTTTTCCTTTTGCTTTTCCGGTTGGGTGTTTTTTGCTTCTTCGCATTTCAAATCTTTGACTTGATTCTTGCGCTCCTCTGGTCTGCTGTTGGGGGTCTGTATAATATTCTTTTTTTTTAATATATAAATATATTTTATTGATTTTTTACAGAGAGGAAGCGGACTGATATTAGTCCGCTTGAAGCTGTCCCAGAGGCTCCTTACACTATCTTCACACTTTCGGATTCTTTTTTCATTTTGCTTTTCCAGTTGGGTGTTTTTTGTCGAATCTTTGGTTTGATTCTTGTGCTCCTCTGGTCTGCTATTGGGTATAATATTCTTAATTTCAGTCCGTGTATGCTTACTTTCTAATTTCTTTATCGTAGCATCGAGGGTCTCATTAGTTTTCGTGAGGCTCTGCTCAAGTTTATAGCAAGCCCTCAAAATTGCGATTCTTAGCTCCATATCCTCCATTTCTGTCATGTTTTTTTGTCTCCGCATCTTTTATGCTTTCTTGGTGCACCCCCTTGTGGTCTTTGTGCGCAGTCTTGTTCTAGCCAAGCCTTAATTGTTGTAGTTAACACTAGAGGGATTTGACCACCAGGCCGACTGGCTGTAGGAATCAGCTGTGTGGAAAACGTCTGTCTTCTGGGGAGGCGCTAATCCAGCCTTTGCCTGAGGCGATCGGCAAATGGCTCTGCGCAGGGCTTGGGCGGGGCGGGATCAACAGGGCGGGGGGAGGGAGCAGCTATGGCTGCTCTCAGTCCGTCCCCAGGGCTCTGCCTCTCTGTCCCAGCAACCGCTGCAAACCTCGGAGGGACTGTAGCCAGACAGTCCCGCTTCTCCCGTTTGAGTCAGGGTCCCTAGAGACTCGCCCGGATCTGTAGCCCAGAGTCTGAGACTCACTCCTGATTGAAAACGACAACCGCGCCCTCAGCCACCAGCCCGCTTTGCGCGCGCACCACCGCACCACCGTACCTTTAAATTTTCCACACTGCGCCTCCTCTGAGCCTGGGAATGCTGTTGTTTTTCCTTCTAGTTGAAGAGTCTCTCCTCAGCCAGCCTTCCTGTGGTTCTGGTTGATGTCCGTTCCGTCTTTTAGTTGTATTTTTGAAGTGGTTGTTTACGGTGGCAGTCTCCGGTGTTTACCTATGCCGCCATCTTCGATTCTCTCTCGGCTCAACTTCTTAAATTTTGTTGTTGTCGCCCTAACCGGTTTGGCTCAGTGGATAGAGCGTCGGCCTGTGGACTGAAGGGTCCCAGGTTCGATTCTGGTTAAGGGCATGTACCTTGGTTGCAGGCACATCCCCAGTAGGGGGTGTGCAGGAGGCAGCTGGTTAATGTTTTTCTCTCATCGATGTTTCTAACTCTCTATCCCTCTCCCTTCCTCTCTGTAAAAATCAATAAAATATATTAAAAAAAAATTTTGTTGTTGTTGTTGTTCAGATTGGTTATTTCTGTTGCTTTATTTTTCAAGTTCACTGATGCTTTCCTCTGTCATCTCCATTTGTTGTTGAGTCTATTCAGTTGAATTAAAAAAATTTTGGTTATTGTATTTTTTCTTATATCTCTATTTGGTTCTTATTTTCTTTTTTGGCTAACACTCTACTTTCCCATTCATCTCAACAGTGTTTGCCCTTAGTTTTGGGAGCATTTTTATAACAGCTACTTTAAAGTCTTTGTCTGTTTATTCCAACATCTGTATCATTTCAGCACTGGCATCTCTTGATTGTCTTTCCCATGCAAGTTGAGATTTTCCTGGTTCTTCATATGATGATTAATTTTTGATAGTTTGAATATTATGTTATGCAACCTGAGGTCTTGTTTAAATCTGGTGGAGAATGTTATTTTTTGTTTTACCAGATAATCAACCAACCCAGTTGGATTTAGGTGGCAAGTTCTGAGCAGCCTTCTATGGGTTGTGGTTTCAATACCAGTTCCATTTTCACAACCTATTCAGGTGTATATTCTGTATGCACCACCAGCGTCCACTCTGGGTCTCAGGCCGTGATCTATTCCTAAGTTCAGTTCTCGAAATCTTTGTTAGGTTGGTTAGAATCAAACGCGCTCTTTAGAATCACATGCACAGCTCAGGGGTTGGCGTGAAAGTTCACCAACAACTTCATGGAGTCGCTTTCCTGATAACCTCCCTCTGTTTCCTCCTGTACTTTCCAATTCATTGGGCTTTCCCTTCCCAGTCCTCTGGCCAGAAAGCTGGGATTTTCGTTACCATATTCTGCCACCTGTTTCCTGAATTATACCCAAATCTGGGGCCAAGCAGCAAGAAGGCAGAGAGAGAAAAAAAGCAACCAGATTTCATGCCACCCTCTTAAGGTTACAGCTCCTTTAATTAGAGAGAAAGGTTTCCCTCTCTGCTTTAGATGCTTGAAGGCCCCATGGCTGCCACTGGCACTTCCATCACCACCGTGGGACTGCCTGGGAACTAGGGCATGAGAGAACAGAGCAAAAAACAACCCTTTGGCCCGGCTGGTATGGTTCAGTGGTTGAGCATATACCTATGAACCAGGAGGTCAGGGTTTGATCCTGGGTCAGGGCACAAGCCTGAGTTGCAGGCTTGATCCCCAGTGGGGGGCATGCAGAAGGCAGCTGATCAATGATTCTCTCTCATCATTAATGTTTCTCTCTCTCCTTCTCCTTTCCTCCCTGAAAGCAATAAAAATATATATATTTTTAAAAAACACAAAAAACCCTGGGATTTCCCCCTCTGTTCATGCGTTAGAACCCCTTTCTTGCCCCCCAGTCATAGCTAGAGGTCTTCTGGAATTCTCTCTGTGCCCTGGTGTTCACTGCTGGGTTTTGGGCTTTCTCAAGTCCATGACATGCACCACCCGCATCCCATGCACAGAGATCCCATGACATGGAATCCAGAAGAAAAATGAGAAATTCACTGCCAGTGTCTTTTCCCTCAATTTATCTGCTACTATTTATATTTGAGAGTCCTCAAATAGCTGCTAAATGCTTTATGTCTAGGCCTTTAGCTGCATTCAATGACAGAGATAGATTCTTACATATGTATCTTGACCATATATCCTGGTGTGGATATAAGCATCATTCATTCTAGGGGAGAAACTGCCAGGTCATGGGGTATATTCAAATTTAGCTAGTCTTTTCCACAGTGGTTGTAACCAATTCATCCTCTGGCCAGTAGAGACTCAGTTTTCACTGTATCACATCGTCACCAACACTGGAACATCAAGCCTTTTAAGTTTTGCCATTTTGGTATATGTGTCATAGTATCTCACTGCAATTCTAATTTGCATTCTCCTACATACTAACTCAATCAAACACCTTTTCATAGGTCTATTGGCCATGTGGATTCCTCTTTTGTGAAGTGCCTATTCGTTCTTTCACTTGTTTCTATACTGCATTGTTTCTTTATTCCTATTGATTTTTGTAGTTCTTTATTCTGGAAACAAGCCCTTGATTGGTTATTTGTGCTGTAAATACCTTTTTTCACTCTAGATTGCCTTTTCACTCTTAATAGATCTTTCAATTAACAGAATTTCTTAACTCTAATGTAATAAAATTGATTAATCTTTCCTATATGAATAAAACCACTATCTGCCCACTTTGTCTTAAAGTGACTTCTCCTGTCTCAGCATTTTGACCGGAGATACCTCAAGCATATCAGGCATGAGATTGCAAGATGGCAAAGGAGAGCCGGGCCAGTGTTGCTCAGTGGTTGAGCATCGACCCATGAACCACGAGCTCACTGGTTCGAGTCCCAGTAGGGGATGTGCACGAGGCAGCCAATTGACTATGTTTCTCTCTCATCGATGTTTCCATCTCTCTATCCCTCTCCCTTTCTCTTTCCTAAAATCAATATAAACATGTTAAAAAAAAAAAAAAGATGGCAAAGGAGAGAGAATAGGCTCCAGAGCTGGACAGAGACCAGTCCAGATCACCTCTTTCAGCATTAGTTTCTTATCTATAACTAAAGCTATATTGTCTACCTTGCAAGATGTGTGTAAAGCATTCAGCACACTGTTGGCTTAAGGAGGTCCTCAGGAAACAGTGGTAGCTGTGACCATATTCTCTGCCACAACTGCCTGAACCTCCTGGCTGCTTTGTGAAACATCTACCTACTGCATTCAAGGATTAACTGTTCTCAGTAGGCCAGCAAAGTCACCCTGTTATTTGCAAGCAGCCCCCACCACCATCTTCAACTAAAAACACAGGCTTAATGCAGAGATGCTTTTCTGACAAAGTAATGTCATTCCGGGGCTCCCACAGGGACACAACGGCAGCAAGCGGAAGAATCAAAGTAGCCCCTCTTTCGCTCACTGCTGACAGCACAGTCGTGTGAAAGCCAAGCCCAAAGGAGCCTGGGTGACTCTGTGTAAAAGGGGCAGGTGTGCCGATCTGTGTGTGCTGCACCGTAGATACAGGGAAGAGTGGGAGTGTGCCGGCCTGCATGAGTTTTGGCACGAGTGCAAGTAAGGAAACGTGCATGACAGAGTGCACCTCCTGGAGGGTGTGCGTGGAAGTGTGCAGTGAGGTGTGTGTCCTCAGGAAGCTGCGATGCTCTCACCAGCCTGGCATTCTGCTGGAGGCCCTGATGGTTATCTACTCCAGCATACCCAGAGCTTGGCATCTCTCAGCGCACCCTCTGCCCAACTCTCTGTGACAGAAATCATACCTTTGTATAGAAACCCGGACCACTCTGAGTGAGAGACAAGCATCTCCTACAAACTCTGCAGTGCACACTTTTAAAGCCACTAGCAAAGTCTTCTGGGTGTTGTATCCCACTCTGCTTCCCAGACCATGTCTCCCTAGAAAGGCTCCTGAGACTTCCCCACAATTCTGAGATATTCCACTGCCCACCCCCAGGCACCCCCCACCTCTTTAGGCTCCACTTCAAATGTGGTCAGTGTTGAGTGCTGAAAGGGTGGCAGAAGGGAAGGAACTGGTACCTGAGCCTAGAGTTTGTCCAGCGGAGTCAAAGGATAGAACCACTGAATCTGCAACACAAGAGGACAAGTTCATTTCTTTCTCCTTCTCACAGTTAGAAAGCAAGCTCCCACTGGCTCTGCCCAAACCCTCCCCAAGGGAAAATCAACTGGAACGGGATTCAGCTGCATAGACAGCCTCCACAGGTCCATGCCCACCCGATCACTGGGCCAGGAGGCCCTGCTGAGCCCCGCCCCGAGCCTCCTGCCACAGGAGGAACATCTCAGGGCAGAGACAGGCCCCGAGTTCTTCAGAGGCATTTTCTGCCAGATTAGGGGACAGATTTACTTCTTTTTCTTTCTCATAGTGAAAATAAAATTTCAAAAAGCAAAAGAAAACTTCCCTCCTGCATCTAGTTAGACACTAACATTTCCCTGTGAATTCTCCCTTTCTTTTCTTATCCATACACCCAATTGTTTATTATTTCTTTTCTCCAAAAGGCTTAACGTGGCCTATAGGAATTTATAATACACAATGGAATTTAAAAAATGAAGTCAAAGAAAGGAAAAACATTAAGTAATTGGGAAATGTTAGTGCACAAAATGCATGCCATGAGGACCTATACAAACCCTATAGCTAGAATCAAGGAGGCCTGAGCTCCCAAACAGCCAAGGAGAACACGAACACTTACAAGATTCAGTGCCCACATTCATTCATTCACTGTTCAGGAAATATTTATTGGGCATCTATGATGTGCAAGATACTATACTTTGAGATGCAGCAGCAAGCAAAAAAAGCGCGGTCTCTACCCTCATGGATCTACCTGTCATCAGTCTAGAAGAGAAAAAAAGTTACCAAACAACAAATCACTCAACTAAAAACTAATTAAGCAAAAAAGGAAAGAGTGCTGTGAAAGTTTCTGTCTGCAACCAGACCTAGTTTAGGAGAATGAATGATGGTTAGAAAGAAGTGACACTTGAACTAACAGCTGAAGGAGAAGTAAGGGTTGAACCTAACAAGAATGGAACGGGGCACTGCAGGCTGAGAGAATGTCCCTTGTGGAGAACTGGAGCAAGATGGAACAGGGTGCTTCAGAGCAACTGAACGACCAAACACAAAAGCAAATACTCTACAGTGATCAGAAAGAAGTTCCTCTCCAGGGTTGTAACTAAGGGAGATGAAACATGATGTCAAAGCCTGTGTCTTTTACAACATTCCTAGAATAATAAGTAATTGTGAATCTTGAATGGCTGTTTCTTATAGCATGAACCAATAGAAATGATGGCATAAAGCCAGTGTACAGTTCAATAAAAACAATTATAAGGGACACCAAGATCATTTAAGGCCCAGGATCACTCAGAGACTCCAGACTTAAAAGAGATCACACTCAAAAGGTTCACTCACTACAAAAGAATGCCAGTTGAATGGATATAGGACCAGTGTCTATAGCCACACCACACCCCAGCATTATTCTTCAGATCTCAATTAGTATGACATTTTCTCTGAGTGCACATGGACATATGACACGACAGTTACCATAACTGTAAATAACATCTATCCCCGCTGCTGGACTACACGCCCCATTAAGACAGACATTGTATTTGCTTTTTTCACTGCTTCATTATCAGGGTAAGATTTGGCACTCAGTAACTACTGCCGAGTAACAATCCTAGATAAGTGAATGGACCACATATCCTTCGGGCAATCTTTCACACTTTTTTCCCCCTCATAACCAAGCGTTTACGAACAAGTGGGTGGCAGAGAACTAGAGGGTATGATTTTTATAATAATCCAGAGGCAGATATTCTGTATTGCTAGTTAAGGGCAGATCCATATGCTCTGAAACCCACATCTTTTTACAAAACTGTGGAAGCACAATTAGGACACTTAGCTGAATAGATAGGTGACCATCATATGAGAGACAAACAACCTCTAACTCTTACAAATTCTACTTCTTTATCACCATTTCTCACATCTGTCTCCTCTTAATGCTCTTGCTGTTTCAGAAAAGAAGCCCCTGACTCTCCCCCCACCATCGCTCTCTCGGAGTTTTATTGAAGTGTAATTTACATACTCTAACATTCACTCATTTTAAGTGTACAATTCAGTGATTTTTAGAAAGTTTACAGAGCTGTGCAACCATCACCACATGAAGATTGAGAACATTTCCTTCACTCTAAAAAGCTCCCTGTGCCCATTTACAATCACGCCTTGCTCCCCCACCTCTAGCTTCAAGCAACCACTAATTTTCTTACCGTCTCTATAGATTTGTCTCTAGACATCTGCCTATTTTTTGCTGGGACTATTCTGATAGCCTCCTAACCACACACCTACCTTCAACTTAGCCCACTTCCATCGTCCTTTATACTGATGCATGATTTTTCTAAAAGGTATGCCTGACTGTGTCTTTGCTTTTGATTAAAATGCTTCAGTGGTTCCCCATAGCCTATACAAAAAGTCCAAGCTCTAACATTCAAGTTCTTCACTATCTTGCCTCATTTGCTACCTCTAATATGTATACCTCATGTTCTAGATATGCTACCTCTAATATACCTCATGTTCTAGAAACTACTTCCATTTCTCCAAAGAGATGTGTACCTCATATAATCTACATGGGACATACTGTTCTGTTTGCATGGAAAAACAACACCACCCCATGTTTCCAATATGACCCAACTCAACCATCCCTCACCTGGAAGCCTCCTCTGATCAATTCTGCGTATTCTCTTCTCTAGGCCATCACTGAGCTGCTATTATGGCATTATTATATTGTGTCATAATCCTTGTTTACTTCTCTTTTCTCTCTCATTAAACTGCAAGTTCCCTGAGGACAAGCATTGTCTGTTCATTTTGAGGCTTTGATGCCTAGCTCAGTGACTAACACCCAGAAAGTAGTCAATATGTCTATTAAACAAAGGAGTAAACTAGTAAATGCCCTTGCTTTCTTTCAAAGGTGATATCATCTGAGTGATATTTCACAGGTTGGGGGGAAATCCATGATGCATATAAATTCTCATTCAATTCAAGTCAACCTTGAACTGGCCTCATCCTAGGAAGGAACAAACATTCCCACAAATCAGTGCGGGGGGATAAGAAAAGTGCCCAAGGAACTTTCTAGGTGAGAGATCACATTCACCAGAAGATTAGGAAAGGCTTTCTGAGGAGCTCACTGCCCAGATTAACAACAATAAAAACAGCATCTCAAATTTTTATTGCACTTGACAAGTATTTTTCCAATGGTATTTTATCCACTTTGTACTCACAAGCAGTCATGAAATAACGTCTTAAACTTTTCCATCTAAACATAAAGAAAAAAGGCTAAAAGTTAACTAACAGACTAAAACTTACCTAAGACTAAAAGAAAAAAGACAATGTTAACAATGTTAACAAATATTAAGAATTATAGGTGGTGTTTATTCTCTGTATTCTTGAAATTTTTCTACAGTAAACATGCATTACTTATATCATCAGGGAAAAAGGTTAAGAAGAGAACTCTAATCCAGCTCTAGGTTTTTAACCTCTAATCTCTGGCATCATGCAGAAGGATGGAAGGTTTCGTCCACCTTCACTGTGCAGCCTTCTGCTTAGTTCCTGAGGCATCCTTGTTTCATGCCCCTTAAATATACCTCAGCTACATCAATTCCTAAATATCCTGAGCCTTTCAAAATTCTTCCCTCCTTCCCAAAAATATTACCAAGTACCTATTATGTGCCGGCATGCCTCATTTTATTGTGCTATTTATTGATCTGAGAGAGAGAGAGAGAGAGAGAGAGAGAGAGAGAGAGAGAGAGAGGGAGAGAGAGAGAAACATCAATGTGAGAGAGAAACATTGGTCAGTTGTTACACTCCCGACTGGGGATGGAACCCACAAGCTAGGTATGCACCCTGACCTGGAATCGAATCCACCTTTTGGTGTATGGGATGATGCTCTAATTAGCTAAACCGCTCGGCAAGGGCTATTGTGTTTTTCTACAAATTGAAGGCAAGTCCCTCCATCAGCAAAAAGATTACAACTTGCTTTATTGTGATGTTCTTTATTACAGTGGTTTGGAACCAAACCTGCCATATCTTCGAGGTATGCCTGCACTAGAGATAGGGAGCCAAGTAAGAGACAGTTTTTGCCTTCCAGCCAAGGAAGACAGACGAGTTAATATCCACTTAAAAAAAAGTGTGACATGGGAATGCAAACACCAAACAGGTGAAAAGTCAGAGTTCTCACAGATATCATTCCCAGTGGCCGTGGGTTGTGTCTTTAAACTGCAGAAGATGCAAATAAGAGAGTAGAAATTTCTGAAGGAAGTTTGTGACATTCATGTTTTGTGTAAGTTTTGGTGTCACTTTGAGCATTAAAGCCACAGACTTGAGAATTCGTTTGGCCGATTATTATTTGTGTTTATTCTAAAGGATGTAAGATCACTTTAGTTATAAACCACTTTGACAACAAAAGAGAGAATTCAGTATTCAACAAGGTGAGAAGTTTGTTTTGCAAGAAACAGAGCAAGAATAATCAGACTTCTCGGGCTAACGAATATGTCGTTTTTACTCAAGCAGCCCGGGCTCCAGCTGTTCCTGGCTCACAGGCCAGAGGTGGCCATGTGGTGTGCTGTACAGGTGACCGAACAGAATTCCAGACCAAAGTCCAGAGCATTGCTGCACATGACTTTGTCCAATGAGGAAACCTAGCATTTACTGGAAATCTTTTATTGTGGTCAGATGTTTCCTGAGTCTGGTTTCTGAAGTGGAGAAAAGGAACATAAAGAAAGTATGAAGAATGGGGCTCAGTCTTTCCAGTCACTGGAGAGGCTTGCAAAACTCCAATTATGCAGTGAACAAGCTACATTTTCAGATCCCACCTGTCATGGTATACATTCAATACGTATATTCTGCTAGCTACCATTTGTATGTCTTAGAGATGCAAGCATTTTCAAAAAGTCCCCTTAAGTAGCCAACAGGTAAAATAAAAGCATTCTATAGTTAACAACACTGTACTGTACACTTGAAATCTGTTAAGAGAGCAGATCTTAAATGTTCTTGCCACACGTACACACACACACACACACACACACACACA